AACAAGGTGTATGATTTTTTTTTTAATGTAAAACTGATGATCTGCCCTGTAAACTTTTACTCAATCCACAAAAAAACAAACAAACAAAAAATTTGTGGCTTAAAACAACAGGAATTTACTCTAGTTCTGGAGGCTAGAAGTCTTAATTCAGGGTGTTAGCAGGTGCATGTTGTCTCTGACAGCTTTAGGGGAAGATCCTATCCTATTTTGTCTAGCTACTTGTTGTTATTGTCAGTTGTTGTTTAGTTGTCAATTCTGTCTCGTGGAGACCCCATGAGTGCAAGTATTCCTTGGCCTGTGGCAGCATAACTAATTTCTGCCTGCATTTTCACATGGCTGTCTCCCCTCCTATCTTTCTCTTATAAAGACACAGATCATATTGGAATTTGGGCTCACCCTACTCCAGTATGACTTCATGTTAATTAATATACCTTTAATAACACTACTCCCAAGAAATATCACATTCTGAGGTCCTGGGGGTTAGGACTTCAACATATCTTTTTTGTGGGGACATAAATAAACCCATAGCAGCCTTTATGTTCTCATTTTGTGAGTGTGTGTCTGTGGTTAGCAGTCCTTTATGTCAAGAATCATAGGGATAGGGCAGATATATCGCTCAATGTGCTCTCATGCAAATATTAAGTGACTGTCAAAGTGGGCAGACCTCAGCATTATCTTTTAAGTGGATAAGAATGGCTGTACAGACATGCTACAGATAATCCTACTGGTACAAATCCTGCCACCATCCACACAATTTGCCTCTAGTAAATGTAATCCTTTATCCTCTTCATTCTACGCTCCTATTCCCCTTCTCTACTAAAGTCACCAAATGTTTTTGTTTTTTTTTAATTAATTATCTAGGCAGTCCAGAGAAGAAAGCAGCTAAATATAGTTACAATTCACCGTATTCACATTTGTGAAAACTCACTACAAAACATTATAAAGCAGCAGTGAGAAGAGATGAAAAAGTAAAGAAGATAGGTTTTTAAGATATTTTAAATAGTGAAGGAGAGAGGCTAAATATACATTCCACACTTCAGTGTAATAAAATATTTACAAACATCTCAATGGCATCACCAGGTCTCAATTATAACCCAGGATTAAGGAAACAGTCAAATTATATGGTTAGTTCTTGCTTATCAAAAGGGAATTTTAGAAATGTGATGAAATAACTGACTAGTTAAAAATAGAACCATCTGGAATACTTTCCTTGATTGACATCCCTCCCCTCCCCCTCCCCCATAACTTCCTGAAAGGCCCAAGAAAGCTACTTTACCATCATGTCCTGCTCTTTAATTTTGCAAAATATTCACTTCAGGAATATTGGTACTGATGTAGACTTTACAATTTTAGAAAAAGAAGGAATCTCAGAAAGTCTGATGACAATCCACTGGGGTGTTCTCAAATTTTTATTGTCATATATATGTACCTTCTTCTCAAGAATATTACGAATCATGTACCTAAAAACATCTAGGTCTAAAAAAATGTTTAAAGAGTCCTGGTAGCATAATGGTTAAAGCACTTAGTTGCTATTGAAAGTTAGTGGTTTGAACCCATCAGTCACTTCGTAAGAGACAGATGTGGCAGTTGCTTTTTGTAAATATTACAGTCTAGGTGGCTCCATAGTTTAGCACTGGACTGAGAACTACAAGCTTGGCGAACCCATTAGGTGGCTCCATGTGAGACCCATGAGGCTGTTTGCTTCTACAAAGATTTATATCCTTGGAAACCTTATATAGGGTCTGTAAGAGTTAGAACGGATGGACTCAAACATAGCAACAATAGCAAGGTTGGCCCAGGATCGGGCAGTGTTTCGTTCTGCTGTGCATAATGTCGCTATGGGTTGGTACCAGCTCAATGGCACCTAAGAACAACAGGAGTCAGAAGTGACTGGAAGGCACTTAACAACAACTACAGAGAAAACCCTACTGGGCAGTTCTACTCTGAATCACAATGGACTTAATGGACTTTTTGGAGTTGATGCTTAATAAATACACACAGAATGAATGGAACTGATTGTCTCTTATCTGTTAAGATAATCCTTCATTTGTTATTGTTGTTAAGTGACTCATAGTGACCCTGTCTAGGATTTTCGAATTCCTCCCTATTGCTTTAAAAATGTTATTTTTAAAAGACAGGAGTTATTTGTGTTTTACATTCACTTATGTGGAGCGAAATTAGTCAATCTTAAAAGGAAAACTATTAAACAATTACTGTAAAAAAAAAGTGAAAAGGATCATATACACACAAAGAATGTATAATTACTAGATTTTAAGATGGCTTTACTGGTGAATTTTACCACACATTCAGAGAAGAGCTGATACCAATTCTACTCAAACTATTCTAGAATATGGAAAAGAATGGAAAATTTACTAATAAATTTTATGAAGCAAGCACAATTCTGATACCAAAACTAGGGAAGGACATCACTGAAAAAGAAAATTATAGACTAATATGTCTCATGACCACAGATGTAAAAATTCTCAACAAAATCCTAGCCAATTGAATTCAACAACATATAAAAAGAAATACATCACGACCAAGTGGGATTCATACCAGGGTTGCAAGGAACCCTGTTTTTCAGTATTTGAAAAACAATCACTGGACTTCACTAAATAAATAAACAAACAAGTAAACAAACAAACAAACAAATGGATAAAAAGCGCATGATTATATCAATTGATGTAGAAAAGGCATTTGACAAAATTTAACACCTATTCCTGATAAAAACACTCAGCAGGGTAGAATTGAAGGGATATTCCTCAACATAATTAAGATCATATATACAAAACCAACAGAGAGAAACTGAAAGCCTTCCCTTTGTAAATAGGAACCAGATAAAAATGCCTTTACTCACCACTCCTGTTCAATACTGTGTTGGAAGTCTTAGCCTGAACTATAAAGGCAAGATAGGGAAATTAAAGGCATCCAAATTGGTAAAGAAGAAGTAAACCTCTATTTGCAGTTGATATGATGATCCTATATGTAGAAAATCCCAAAGACTCAAAAAAAACAACTGGAACTCATTGGAAGATTCAGCAAAATGGCAAAGTACAAAATCAACATTCAAAAATCAGTTGTATTCCACTATACTAACAAAGACAGCTCTGAAAAGGAATTAGAAAAACAGTATGATTTACAACAGCCCACCCAAAGACTACACAAAGAAAACTACAAAACACTACTACAAGAAACCAAAATATATTTATAAAAAATTCAAGAATATATCATGCTCATGGATAGGAAGACTTAACATTGTGAAAATGGCAAGACTATCCAAAGCAATCTATAAATATAATGCAATCCCAATCCAGATTCCAACAACAGTCTTTAAAGAGATGGAAAAAATGATCATGAACTTATATGGAAGAGAAAAGAAATCTCAGGTAAGCAAAGCACTGCTTAAGAAGAACAAATTGGGAAGCCTCTTACTTCCTGATTTCAAAACTGACTTCATGGCCACAATGGTCAACACAGCCTGATACTGGTACAAGGAAAGATATATAGATCAATGGAACAGAACTGAGAACCCAGAAATAAAGCCATCCACATACAGTCAACTGGTCTTTGACAAAGGGCCAAATACATTAAATAAGGAATGGATAGTCTCTTCAACAAATTGTGCTGGCAAAACTGGAAATCGATTTGCAAAAGAATTAAATAAGACCTGTATCTCACACTATATGCAAAAACTATATCAGCATGGATTAAAGATCCATATGTAAATCCCAGAACTGTAAAAATCATCAATGAAAAAATAGGGACAAACTTAAGGGCTCTACTACATGGCATACACAGACTAACATGGCAAAAACACACAAACAATAGAGGACAAAATAGATGACTGGGACATGCTAACAGTTACAAACATATATGCATCAAAAGATTTCACCAAAACAGTAAAAAGGGAATCCAAAGAATGGGAAAAAAATTTTTGTAATAACTTATCAGACAAAGGTGTAATTTCTAAATTTTATAGGAAACTATAACATCTCTTTCAAATAATGACTACTTCCCCCAAAAGAGATTACTTTCTTTTTTATATATAAAACTCAGAAATAATTGAGTAACATGAAACAAGTAAGTTCATTTTAGTATTCTTGGTTTTATCCAAATGGTTCTAAGACTTCAAAATGGATATAAGCATGCAATGATTAATAACTGACCTATTCAAATAGCTAAGTTAAAGGATACTTAGTGGGGCCAGAATACTGACCCCAATTCCCATCTCCATCTTCCTTATTTCTATTTTCTTAAAAGTAGATCTCCCTCAGTTGTCTCTTGGAAGACCATTAATTCCTACCTGCTCAACTCTGGAAAGCATCACAAGCAGGAGGAATGGCCATTAATCAGCCCAAATACATTTTCTCTAGATGTCTGTAGAGACTGTAGACAGTCTCTCTTCTTTAGGCTTTCTTACATTCTCTATTTTGGTCATTAACTGATTACTTTATACTTTATCACATCCTAATCCTTTTGATTTACTCCATTTCCTCTTTCTAGGGAAGATTTCCACTCTTAAGTTTATGAGGTCACTTGTCAACTTACTTATTAAAATCATTCAGTTTTTCATTCCCTGTGTGTTCAAAATAAGGCAACTCAATTTCCATGACCTAACTGACAATTCCTGTACTATACTGAAGCACTGGTCAATTCTGAGGTGGTTCTTCTCCAATGAGTCCAATCTTTGTCTTAAGTGGTCAATATGCTCTTAAGAATACAGAGACTCTAATGAAATTCATAAGAAAGGTAAGTGACATACAGGAGCATTGTGACTAAGATGTTTTCATAATGCAGTGAATGACAGGAAAATTACTTTGAAAAATGTGGTCTATTTCCATGTAGAGCACCAACTATACTACCTTGGAACTTATAATCTTAAGGGTTTTAAGTCAGAGCAAAACTGTTAGTACTAGAAAGAAGACGTTTTTCAGTTTTACACAGAAAACATTAATACTTTTTAAATTAATGACTATCTATAAATAAATATACATACTTACATTTTTGAACAGCTGCTCAGCAAGTTCTCTAACATGCTTTATCATCTTCAATGGGTTATTCTCTTCTACTTTAATTCGTTCTACTTCAAAGGCTACCAACTTAGAAAAGGAATCAAATGGTAAAATGTCAACTCTACAATATATTATAAACTGTAAGATAAATTACTATAGTTTGCAAGTCAAAAGCATCCCAAACATATGGTTTGTTTACTAGGTTTACCAGGTTCTGGTGCTGTAGGATCAGCACTAGATTGGGAACCACAAGGTTGACTGTTCAAACCCACCAGCTATTGCTCGAAAACCCTAAGTATGGTCATTATGAGTCCGAACAAACTCAATGGCACTTAACAACAACACCAATAGAGTCAACTAAGTCCTTGGATGGTCTGTGGGTCTCTCCCTGATGATTTGTGGTCCTATTTTTTTCTTGGGGAAAAAATTCAGAGAAACCCAATCATTCATTCACCAGGCCTCATTGAGCGAAATCTCAGAAAGTTTCCAAACATTTGCTAACTCACACAACATGATGTGAATGCGCACTCTAATGAGCAAGTCAGGTTGCTCAGATTCTGGATCTAGTCTGTAGATAATGTGACCTGGGACAAGTGACTTACAACTCCCGTGTTTCCATTTCCTCATCTCTAAAATAGAATGGAAGAATAAGATATTCTGGAGGCCTGGTGTGGTGCTATGGGTTATGTGCCAGACTGCAAAGCTGCTTGAACTGCAAGATCAGCAGTTCAAGCTCACCAGCGGCTCCTGGAAACCCTATATAGGGTCGCTATTGGTCAAAGTGACTCCACAGCACTTAACCACAACAATATGCTCCTTCTAGTTCTTGTATTATATAAATTCTGTTCCACTCCTGATTAAGTAATTTAATGGGAGAATTATGTGAGTATGTGTGTGACTTACAACTCCCGTGTTTCCATTTCCTCATCTCTAAAATAGAATGGAAGAATAAGATATTCTGGCACTTTCAATATTTTTCTCTAACTCCGTAACTCAAAAGCATCAATTCTTCTACGGTCTATAAATAATGCATTGATTTTATAAAAATGATACCTCATCAAACAGATCACAGGATCTATAGGGAAGACCTCTTTCTGAAACAAAACCTGCAAATGCCATTCCGTTGAGTACTTTAGTGAGGAAATCATTCTCAACCAAACCTCGCTGGCCCAAGAAAGCTGTCTGTAAAGATACAAAATGGGAAATAAGTAGATTAATTTATCACTAAGAAACTAACAAAATGGCCAAAACAAAAACACAATACAAAGATCAAAGCCTATATAAATACCTTCATGCATAATTATGCAGCTCTGAAATATATTTCTCTGGAAAGGAGTTTTTGTTCTGGGTGCAACAAGTCTATAAAGTCATCCTGTATCTAATATGCTCCCCTTCCACTCCCCGACTATACCAAAATCCTCGATGGTCAAGTGTCTTATAAAAAATGATACTGCATTTGCATAACTTATGCATAATGCCTACATTAAAAAATTCATCTCTAGATTACTTATAATACTTAACATACCGTAAATGCTATATAAATAGCACTTTACACTCCCTCTTAGCCTTTGAGGGATTGTCTTAGCCACTTTATTGCTTTTAAAATTTTTCTTCCTAACTATTTTCAATCTCTGGTTGGTTGAATCTACAGATGCTGAACCTTTGAATACAGCGGGCTAACTGAATATTGGAAAGAATAAAAAATAATCTGTCCATAAAGCAGGGGGGAAAACTCAGAAATTAACATTTAATTTGAAAAGAAAAATCAATTCAAAACTAATAAACTCTAAAGAAAAATATTGTCAATTCCATAGTATTATTAAGAATTATCATCTAAACTCACAAAACAGAAGAACTTGGTATGTATAACAACATTTGATAATAAAAATGCATGACTAGAAAAAGACAACCATGTAGTCTTATCAAATTAGAGACTACTTTTTGGGCAGATAAAATACAGTAGCAAATCTTACCTTATGAAAATGTATGACTGGTTCTGCATGAATTCTTATTAGTTGTAGACATGATCTATATCCTTGAAAAAGTTGTGCAAATAATCTAAGGAAAACTGCTCGTACTTCTTTATCCTGAAAATGGCAAAAAGACTATGTTAGGTAATTTGATTTCTTAAAACACAAAATAAAAACCATAAAATCATACAGTTGGGAAGAACCTGAACGATTTTCTAATAAGTCTGTGTGTGCTTTCTAAACATTAGTCTCATTTGTAGCAAACCTGAGTGGTGGGCATCTACTCAGTCCTATTGTTGGACAGTTTAGGCTGTTAAACAGTTCTTCATATTGAAGCAAACAAAATTTGCCACCAGTACTTTCAATTTTCCTCTCAGAGAAAACATTAGACATAGAAATCTCTCCCTTTACTATGTTAAACAGGGCTTCTATTCCCAAGTCCAAAGGATTGGACTTAAAAGCTATGGAGTTCTTCTAAAGTTTATATAACTTACAAAATTCTATTCTTATACTGATCAGCTATAAAAAGTATCTATTTTGATAATTCAGGCTTCAATAGAGCCACAGTTTTAGTACTGTAAAGAAATTTACAGGTTCTTTTAGTCTACACCTTATTTAATTGATGAGGAAATGAAGATCAAGATGCTTAAGCACTGTGTCCTTATGGTCACATGTTTACTTCTCAGAGATGCACTGGGCAAAACAAAACAAAACAAAAAAGGTATTCACTCTTTTATGACTTCTAATCAGAATTATTATTATTTACTTACTCCTCAAATTTGATTCTATCCTGCTTCCAACCATCTTTGTTTCCATTTTCTCAAAATTCCCCTTTCATTTTCCCTTGGCCTTTGCAAGGTTATTCTTGGATAAACTTTCCAGGCTATCATTTGTTGTTGCTAGATGTCATCGAGTCAGTTCCAACTGATAGGCACATCATGTACTAGAGAACGAAACACTGCCCAGTCCTGTGACAACCTCACAATCACTGCTATGCTTGAGCCCATTGCTGCTGCCACTGTGCCAATCCATCTCACTAGGGATCTCCCTCTTTTTCACTCACGCTCCACTTTAACAAGCATGGTGTCCTTCTCCAGGGACTGGTCCCTCCTAATAACCTGTCTGAAGTATGAAATGAACTCTGGCCATCTTGGTTTCTAAGGAGCATTCTGGCTGTACTTCTTCCAACACAGATTTATTTGTTCTTCCGGCAGTCCATGGTACTTTTAATATTCTCCTCCAGTACCAAAACTCAAATTCATCAGTTAATTATTCCATGATCTTTTTTTATTCACTATTCAACTTTCATATGCATATGAGGTTATTGAAAATACCATGGCTTGTATGAGGTGCACCTTTGACTTAAAAATGATGTCTTTGCTCTTGAACACTTTAAAGAGGTCTTGTGCAACAGATTTGTCTAATGCAATACATTGTTTCATTTCTTGACTGCTGCTTCCATGATGGTTGATGGTGGATCCAAGCAAAATAAAGTCTGACAATTTCAATCTTTTCTCCATTTATCATGATGTTATTTACTGGTCTAGTGGGGAGGATTTTTGTTTTCTTTACATTGAGGTGCAACCCACACTGAAGGCTGTGGTCTTTGGTTTCTTCAGTAAGTATTTTAAGTCCTCTTTGCTTTCAGCAAGCAAAGTTCTATCATCTGTATATTGCAGGTTGTTAATCAGTCTTCCTCCAATCCTGATGTCATGTTCTTTTTCATATAATCCAACTTCTCATCTGATCAGCTTTTTGTCTTCCTCATTTTTTCTTTTTGCTTTAGCATCCCTATGCTGAAGAGCAAGTTTCAGAGTCTCTTCTGATATCCATTTTGATGTTTTCATCTTTCTTGTCATCTTAATGATCTTTTGCTTTCTTCTTCTGTGATGTTCTTGATGTCATCGCAGTTATTCTGGTCTTCCGTCTTTAGTGTCTAATGCATCAAATATGCTCTTGAGATGGTATCTAAATTCAAATGGGATATATTCCAGGTCATAATTCGACCCTCATGGACTTGTTTTAATTTTCTTCAACTTCAACCTGAACTTGCATAAGAGCAACAGATGGTCTGTTCCACAGTCTTGTTTTGGCTGATGATATGGAGCGTTTCCACCGTCTCTTTCCACAGATGTAGTCAAATTTGATTTTTGTGTATTCCATCTGATGAGGTTCATGTGTGTAGTCATCTTTTATATTGTTTAAAAAAGGTATTTGCACAACAAGAGGGACATAGGAAAGATGAAGGTAGTGGGAGACACAGGGAGGAATGCAGTAGTTAAAATGAATAGAGGTAATCATTGTTAACTGTTGGTACATGGAAGGGATTGCAACCATGTAGTGATTTATTGAATATAAAACAGATGGTATGCTCTCAATTCAATTCACAATAAAAACTTTTTTTTAAAAAAAGGTATCATCAATGAAGAAGTCATTGGTTTTGCAAAATTCTATCATGCTATTTTTAGCACTGTGTCTATCACCAAGCCCATATTTTTGAACTACTAATATTTCTTCTTTGTTTCCAACCTCTGCACTCCAATCACTACATCTTGATTGCATGTTTGATCAATTTTACACTGAATAAGTTGGTAGAATTATTCAATTTCATCATCACTGGCTTTAGTCGTTCGTGCATAAATCTGAATAGTAGTGGTATTAACTGGTTTGCCTTATAAACTTACGGATATTATCCTATCACAGACAGCAATTATAAATTAGGGTCTGATTTTTTTTTTTTTCCTATACTTACTCAAACCTCCTGAAGACAACAGTGTATTTCCCCTCTTGGCCCATGCATAGCCTTGTAGCTGCTCCTTGAGCAAGACATAATGTCAGTGACAATTCTCTTCATTCCAAATCTGGTACATTTTTATGTTATTAGGCAGTCCATCTAACTCTCACTTCACCCAACTTCTTTAACAACCTTACAAATAAAAATACAGTTCTCTTACAAAGCATGGTACTTAAACATTAAACTTCTTACCAGCATTTTTGAGTGGGATAAGGCTGTTCGTGGAGGGGGAAAAGCATGATCTGCTACTTCCAGATCTGGGTGTAAAATCTAAAGCAAAGAAATTTTATTATGTAAAATATATTAGTATCAATACAATTTATTATTTAATTCATACTGGCTATTAAGATAAAAAAGTCTGTCAGAATGTGAACTGTGATATATCCTATCTACAAAATGGAATGCAGTTAGCTGAGGTAGGACTGTATGTAGTAGGGTGAGGCATGATACCCAAGCCAAATACTCAGTGAAAAAAAAACATGTTTTGAAAAAATACACATAGAATGTTCTCATTTATTTGTGGGGGAAAAAAACCAACAACCCTACATCTATATATGTCTGCACACTCATATACATATACATTGTTGTTAAGTGCCATCGAGTCATCCAACTCATAGTGACCCTGTATAGGGTTTCTGAGGAGTGGCTGGTGGGTTTGAATCAATCAACCTTGTGACTCAAACTGACCTGCAGTCCAGCAGATTATCCTGCAGCGCCACAGCATGCCTCCAATATATAAATGTAAAATTCAGGAAGAATACCTAAGAAACTACTTCTGGAAAAGGAATGGCCTGGGGCAGAGCTATTTGTATACATAGTTGAAAATTTTATGTGAGCATCTGTTTTATGTTTCTTAGCATAATTAAAAGTTGTCATTATAATTAGTTGAAATACTAGGATGAAAGTGAGTAAGTTTATGAAGCTCACAGGCCACAGGAGAAAAAGGTACTAAACAATGTGTTAGGTGTTATGAATATATAAAATATATGAAATAAGAGTATAAATAATTCAAACTAGAGAAAGCAAGAAAAAAGAAGGCAACATTTGAGTTAGGCTTTGATGGAAGCAAGTAAGGAAGAATGTTGGGAACAAGTGGGGAAGAATGGTCTATGCAGGCTTAACATAAGAGAAAAAGGTAAAATTGTATCAGTATGTAACTAATATTTCTTTATAGAATCATTATGAAATAGACTAAGGACTGAAAACATTAAAATATCAGCAATAACTATAATCGAATCACCCAATCACTACTACAGTATTATCTATGTTTGTTGTTTGCCGTGGAGTTGTTTCCGACTCAGCGACCCTGTACAGGGTTTCCGAGGCTGTAAATCTTTATAGGAGCAGAAAGCCTCATCTTTCACGGAACAGCTGGTAGTTTCAAACTGCTGACCGTGAGATTAGCAGCCTGAGTCATAACCACTATGCTACCAGAGTTCCTTAATATAATATTATCTTGTTGTTGATGTGTGCCGTAGAGTTGGTTCCGACTCATAGCGACCCTGTGCAGGGTTTCCGAGGTTATAAATCTTTACGGGAGCAGAATGCCTCATCTTTCTCCCGCGGAACAGCTGGTAGTTTCGAACTGCTGAGCTTGTGGCTTGCAGCCCGATTCGTAACCACTACGCTACCAGAGCTCCTTTATTATCTTAGAAAAATAAAATAATCCAGGATCAATACACAGTTCCAATTACTGTGTTATTATTTTATTGCAACTATTTACTTCACTTGTATGTCAAATCTCCCATGCATTCCATCATGTATGATCTTTTTTTGGTCCTTGTTTAACAATATATTCTTCATTTCTTATTTGTACTACTACACCGTAAATATGAAATACACTATCATGTTTGACCAGTATAATATGTATACTCAGTTCTACCAGAAACACATTTCTATTGATCAAGTTTTGTATCACTGGTGTTACAGATTAAGGTATATGACTGTGCAGCAAGACAACTACAAGGAGCCACTTAATTTATAACTAAAATCTTAATCTGTTACATTTTATATATAATCCCTGAATAATTATTAGTATCAGTATTAATCATAAACTTTAAAAAAAGTTTTTAATAAACATTTAGTTTTATATTCAAGTTAAAGCAAATACAGAGTTGAATGTGGAAATAAATAATTAAATGCTTTTGGAAAGTTGCACATTTCCTCCTTAAACTCAATTTTTCTTCAACTCATGTTACCTTCTCAGCTTTTACTATATCCATATACTACCTGTACAATTATTTGGCTCATGTTTTTATCCAGTGCCATCGAGCCAATTCTCACTCATAGTAACTCTTCATAGGGCTTCAGCGGCTGTGAATCTTTGGAGGAGAAAAGCTCATCTTTCTCCCATGTGGAGCAGCTGGTGGGTTTGAAATGCCGACCTTGCAGTTAGCAGTCTAGTGTTTATTCTAAAGCGAGTCACACCAGGGCTTTCTTACTGTTTTTCTTCAAATTGCCTTTAAATCAATTAATCCTTTTTGGACCTAATATTTTCTTAGATGATTTCTGTGAGGTCACAGATTTCCTATGCTATTTTAATATACATTATACTAAATACATAATAATTTAAATTAAAAAGTTTGCCCTCATATTACCCATGTTTCACTTTGGTAAATAGTGACCTAGTCATCTTATGGGTGAAGATTCATCCTATAATGGTGGTGGTAATTGTGGCTGTGTGCTATCAAGTGTATTTCGACTCACAGTGACCCCGTATAGGGTTTCCAAGGCTGCAAATCTTGACAGGAGCAGAAAGCTTCATCTTTCTCCTGCAGAGTAACTGGTAGATATGAACTATTGACTGTGCTCAATCTATGATGTTGTTGTTGGTAAGTGCTGTCAAGTTGATTCCGACCCATATCGACCCTGTATAAGGTTCCAAGGAGCAGCTGGTAAGCTTGAAGCACCAACCTTGCAGTTCAAACGACTTTGCAGTCTGACACATTAGCCCACAGCACCACAACATAAAGACCAGTAAATAGAGAACTGGAGTAGTTAGTTAAGTGTTGGGCTGCTAACCTCAAAGTTAGTGGTTCAAACCCAATAGCTGCTCTGTAGGATAAAGATGAGGCTGTCTGCTCCTGTAAAGGTTTACAATTTCAAAAATGCCATGGAACAATTCTATACTGTCCTATAGGATCGCTAGAGTTGGAATGACCTAGACATTTATACTAGAATACAAATTACATAAAGAAAGTCAGTTTTCTCTTAATGCAAATGTTCCTGCCCATAAATACCACTAAATCAATATAAGGAACAATGCAGGTTTGAAAGTTTCCTGAGAATTAAATCCCTCAGTGCAAACTCAGACCTCTGAGTTTCTGTTTAAGGAAGAATACATCTTAAGTAGGCCAAACTAGAATATTGTTAAATAATAGCAAGAAGGCCTTAGTTCTAGTAATGGCTTGATAAGGAATGCACAATTTCAAAGATTCACTTTTCTGATGGTAGATACATGGGCACCTAAACAGCTGACAGTAAACGTCTGGTCATAGTCTCAGGGGACACTTCAGGCAAATGACATAAAATAGTCCACCAAAGACAAGATTCTACATCCTACTTTAGTGAATAGCAACTGAGGTTCTAAAAACTTGTGAGTGGCCATCTAAGGTGCAACTATTGGTCTCTCCCTGTCTAGAGGTGAACAAAATCAAATATTCACTGAAAGAATCAGTCCAAAGGGCTCAAAGACCACATGAACCGCATCCTTTATGACCCTGAAACGAGAAGAACTAGAAGGTACCAGACTATTATTGCTGACTACTCCGAAAGGAAGCACAATAGGAGGACCTGAACAGAATGGGATAAAAATGTGCAAAAACATTCAAAGTCATAAAAAAGACCAAGCTTACTAGTGGAATCCACAAGACATTCAGGCCTGGAACTGAAGTTACTCCATGGCTCAACCTTCAGCCCAATGACAGACAGGCCTATACGGCGAGCAGTAGTACCAGGGAGGTATGCACTTATTAGAATAAAATACGCTAACGCAAAAAAACAAACAAACATGCTAACTCAAAAAGGCCTAGGAGAAAGCTCAAAAGGCAAGAATGAACAGGAAAGAAGAACAAATGAAAATGAGAAATACAGGGAGGAGGGGAGAGTATTTTTACATTGTGGGAACTGTAATCAATGTTACAAAATAAAATGTATACGAATTGTAAAATGGAAAACAAATTTGTTCTGTAAATTTCACCTAAAACACATTAACTAAAGAAAAGTTATCAGTAAAATAAAATGCTGTGTTTTCAAAACTAAGATAATATAGCTACAAAACAAAATGAAATGTGTTTCAATTTTCACCCAAACCATAATAAAATATTCAATCAGTCAAATCAATCAATGTGTTCCTATGAGAAAAATCCAGGTCAGAAACTATTTTAAAAGCATTATTGCATGAAATGCTAAGCATTTAATCTGTCAATAAGTAATACCTCCTATACTAATTTTAAAACATTGGCAAAACAATATCACACTATTTTGTAAGTAGTACTTCTACCAAAGAGGCACAAGATGCTCTACTCTAATAAAGTATTAGGTAGGAAAGTGAACAGGAGTTGACTACTAATAGGAAATGCAAGGGGAATCAGGGATTTTGAGGCAGACCCTTGTCTTGTTTTCACAGAATTTCCAAAATATAAAATAACCCACTGTCCTCGAGTTGATTCTGACTCACAGAGACCCTACATAGAGTTTCCTAGACTGTAAATCTTTACAGTAGCAGACAACCTCAGCTTCCTCCCACAGAGTGGCGGTAGGTTTGAACTGGTGATCATGCAATTAGCATTCCAATGCTTAATCCACAGCACCACTTGGGCTAATATGCTACATGAAAGAATGAATATAGAATAAAAAAGCCAAGATTCAAAGTACATTCTTTATATAACTACCTAATAAATAAAGAATCTATCCTAAATACTAAGTGGGACTCTATGAAGAAGAATGGGGCATCAGGGCCGTAGGAAGATTCATTAACAACTTGTGATATGCAGATAACATAACTTTCCTTCCTGAAAGTGAAGAGGACTTCAAGAACTACTGATGAAGATCAAAAACTCCAGACTCCAGTATGGATTACACCTCAACATAAGGAAAGCAAAAGTCCTCACAACTAGACCAATAAGGGGTATCATGACAAAGGAAGAAAAGACAGATGTTGTCAAGGATTTCATTCTACTTGGAACCCCAATAAATGCCAATGGAAGCAGTAAAGACAAATCTAAGGACATACTGCTTTGGGCAAATATGCTGCAAAAGACCTTTTTAAAGTGTTAAAAAGTAAAGATGTGCCTGACCCAAGTCACAGTATTTTCGATTGCGTATGAAAGTTGAAAAATGAATAAGGTAGACTAACAATGAATTGATGCATGTGAGTTGTGGTCATAAACTGTTTTGGAAGAAGCACACTGAATGCTCCTTAGATGTGAGGATGGTGAGACTTCATTTCATGTACTCTGGACATGTCACCAAAGGGGACCAAACCTTGGAAAAGCACATCATGCTTGGTAAAGTAGAGGTACAGAGAAAAAGAGGAAGACCCTTGATGAGGTACACTGACACAGTGGCTGCATAAACAGGTTCAACCAAAGCAACAACTGTGAGGATGGTGCAGGCCCGGGCAATGTTTCCTTCTGTTGTACACAGGGTCACTATGAAGCAGAACGGACTCTCCTGAGTATTAAATTTACCTAGTCATGTTTAAAGGACACAAACCTCTCATTTTAAGTGATTACACTGACAACGATGCTTCATTTCAACGATCTTACATTTAGATTTAAAATAAGAACAAAATGTTTTATTAAAAATAACATGTCATACCAAAGAAAGAGCTGCTTGAGTCTGATGTAGGAGTGGTTCCGGAAGAGAAGACAGGTGAATACATTCAGGAATTTTAATAGTGCCTCCATCCAAGTCGGCTATGATTACATCTAACTGAAAGAGATTAAAACATTAATTTGTAATTAATTATAACTAATTTAGAATTTGTTGTTACAGAAACTAATCTGACCTCCACCAATTCAAAATGAGAAGCATGTATAGAGGAGACTCAATAATAATGGAACTATTGCTGGGTTCATAGCTTCTGGAGTACCTATATTTCCCATCTTTTTTGAAGTATGTGTGACCACATGACTAAATTTCTGGCAATGGAATGTAACAAATGATAAGAACACTTTCAAGCATTCAGGACAAAAGATATATAAGTAAGGAAAGAGTTATGTTTTCTTCCCGCTTGCCATAGACTAAAGTAATCAGGTTAAAAACCAAACCTTGAGCATTCAGATGATGACAGTCCTAAAAGGAGTCTGGATTGTGAAAAACTTTATAGAATAAAATTGCTTATGAACTGCTGTACAAGTATTAAATTCCATTTTGTTTGAGCCCTTACAATTTAGATGCTGTATTATATAGTATTGTTGTTGTGGTGGTGTGCTGTGGAATCAGTTTCAACTCACAGAGACCCTGTCCAGGGTTTTCGAGGCTGTAATTCTTTACAGGAGCGGAACGCCTCATCTTTCTCCCACAGAACAGCTGGTAGTTTCTAACTGTGATCTTGAGGTTAACAGCCTAATTTGTAACCACTATACTACCAGAGCTTCTTATATAGTGTTGTTGTTAAGTGCTGTCGAGTCAGTTCTAACTCATAGCGACCCTGTAATACAGGGTTTCCAAGGCTGTAAATCTTTACGGGAGCAGAAAACCTCATCTTTCTCCTGTGGAACAGCTGATAGTTTCAAACTGCTGATCTTAAGTTTCACAGCCCGATTTCTAACAACTACGCTACCAGAGCTCCTTTAGCCATACCTAAATAGCATAGTAATTACTACATAGAAATCATAGAAAGGCAATTGTTGTTATATGCCATCGAGTTGGTACTGACTCATAGCAACCCTATGTACAACACAACAAAATACTACCAGTCCTGTGCCAATCTCAAGCACAACTGTTGCTAGCAATTAGTACACAGACAAAGGGTACTGTATAGATGCTTAATAAAGAGACTGATTTTTAGCATTTTATAAATTTAAAAATAAATTACACATAAATGTAATAGAGAAACTACCAAAATTATTAAAGCTATTGCATGAATAATCATTATGATTCATTGTAATTTATTCATTAAAAAATCAAGACATTTACTTTGGTAACACTTGGTTTGTCCTACCTAACTTCAGCAATGGTTTGTATTTAGTAGTAATAAAGTTACCTACAAACCATATGGGTATACTTTTAATCAGTACTAATTAGGTTTTACTGAATATGTTTATTGATACACAAGGGAGCTTCAAAACATTTCTGGGCAATTTCCATGATTCTTTAATTTCATTTCTCCAGGAACTCTTTGAACCCCCTTGTATGTTTTATATGGTGATACTAAAGTTAAGCAGGAACTTGAGGTCAACATATAAAACTAGGAAGAATGATTAATAAATGAATTATGATCCTGCTTATCAATTACAAAGTTGAATCCATCTTTTTGTTAGTTTAAAGGGCACCTATCACTTGATTGGAGTCCTGGTGTGGCACTGTGGGTTAATGTGCAAGATTAGAAAGTAGGTTTCAATTGCAAAGTGAGTGGTTCAAGGTCATCAGATGCTCCTCAGAAACCCTATACAGGGTTGCTATGGGTCGGAACTGACTCAACAGCACTTAACAACAACAAGAACACTTGATTACCTCTCACTACCATAATCACTGGATAAGTATCACAGAACTTACCTCTTTGCTAGCATTTTAAACTGAAACAGAAGTAGAATTACAAGATCTTAAGGGCCTTGTGGGTCACAGGTGTCATGTACATGTAGTCCAATCTCTCAATAAAGATATATTCTTAAATATTTCTGAGAGTGTCATATAATTTATTCTATTCACAGTACCCTTCTCACATAAGGAAACCCATTTCTTCATTGGGGAGCTCTGTTGAGGGACTTCCTCTTTTTCACTGACCCTCCACTTTACCAAGCTTCATGTTCTTCTTCAGGGTCTCCTGACAATATGTCCCAAGTATGAGAGACAAAGTTTCACCATCCTCGCTTCTAAGGAGCTTCTGGTTGTACTTCTTCCGAGACCGATTTGCTTGTTCTTCTGGCAGTCCATGGCATTTCAATATTCTTCACCAGCATCATAATTCAAATGCATCAATTCTTCTGTGGTCTTCTTTATTCATTGTGGGAAGCTCTAACAGCAGAAGAATCTTATATCGAACTGAAATCTCTTTCTCTCTAAATATTCATGATTTTATTTCAGTCATTTAGAGCTACATTCTTCCCTACAACAGCCCACTAAAATACATGTCTTCAACTATCACACCAAAACCTACCATTGTTGAGACAACTAATAGCAAGCCTACAGGTCAGAGAACTGCCCCCATTGTTTTCAAGACTATATAAATCTTTATGGAAGCAGACTGTCACATTTTTTTCCTACATAGCAGCTGTTTGGTTCCAATTGCAGACCCTTCAGTTGGCAGATGAGCACTTTAACCACTGCACCACCAGGCTCCTTTTCAGCTATCAAACTGTATCATAAAATTAATGGAGAAAATTTCCCTAGGACATAATTTCTTAACTCTTGACAATCCTGGATGTCCTTCTCTGAAGTGCTTTATGTTATTATGTTGTTGCTGTGTTGTGAAGTGCCGTCAAATTGCTTCCGACCCATAGTGACCCTGTTTACGGTTTCCGAGGAGCAGATGGTGAGTTTGAACTGCTGACTTGCAGTTCAAACGGCTTTGCAGTCTGGTGCATTAACCCACAGAGCCACACCAGGACTCCGTTACAGTCCCTCTTAAAGTACAATACACTTTTGTGGAACTACAATGTAATTCCACAAATGGCTTGAGTCTAGAATATTAGTTTCCCTCTTTGGTATTTCTATTCATGGGGCATTTAAAATAAAATACTCTGGTGGGGGTTTATATTGAGCTTGTGTTCTATTAAACCCCTCAGGTTTTGCAAATGCTTTTTGCTTTGTTAGTTACAGGCCTCATTTCAAAATATAAATAAATTAAGTACTAACAATAGTATAAATAGTATATTAATCAATGGATTATTTTTCTGCTTTGATCATATACAAAACCCACTGCCGGTGTTGATTCCAACTCAAAGTGGCCTTACAGGAGGATTCTGAGGGATTCCTAGTGTGGTGCTATGGGATAAGCATTGGAATGCTAACCTGGTTCAAACTAGGTGCTCCTTGGAAACTCTGTACAGAGTCGCTATGAGTTGGAAAGGACTTGATGACACTTAACAACAAGGTTTCTGAGGCTGTAACTCTCTCTGGGAGCAGAAAGCCTCAGAGGGGCTGGTGGGATCAAACTGCTGACCTTTCACAGTTAGCTGCCCAACTTGCAGCCCACTATGTCACCAGAGCTCCTTTTTCTCATTTATAGGAAAATAAATACAGAATGAGAGACTTGATTTATCAAAAGGGGGGAATTTCATTATAAATAAATCATTTTTTAAATCTCCCAGACTTGCTATAAAGCAAAATTCATACATGCATATCTACCAGTGATGCTTTCTTCTAGCCAACCTTTTCTACAGGGGATGCAACAGATTTGAATAAAGTAATTAATCAAAATGTTACACGACTCAAAGACATATAGTAGAACTCTGTCCTCAATAACTGGCCATTTTAAAAGTGAATACTTACAAGTTCATGGACATCCGTTTTAAAGATAGAATGTACTCCAATAATGAATGGTGTTGGGGAACTCAGAACTTCCAGTAGCTGAGCTGGCAGAATGGGAATGTAAGGATAACTGAAAATAATAAAAATATGTTATCAATATATTTGTTTTTTCATAACATAAACATTTTCCTTTCTTTTTTTATGCTGCATGAGTTTTAAAGCTGGACAACATTTAGACATTATCAATAATATTGACATGGTTGTTACATTATAGTTTTTAAAGCAAATGTATTTTTTAAATTTTCATGTGAAAGGTATGAACAGATGTAAGCAAGATGTAAAGTAAGTGGAACTTAGGCCAGCTTCCCATTCTTATTCCCCCACGGCAAGCCAAGTCTCTTTAGTTATTTTAATATTGTTTCAAAACATTTTTTGTTACACAGAAATCCAACATCAGCTGATAACACTGACTGTTTGATGAGTCTTCTCCTTCCAATACTGGGCAGTGATTTGTCGACATAAAATAATCATTTAGTTCCATTTCTACACCAGAGTTTTGCAGGTAAGAAAAATAACAATAGCAAGATAAAAGCAAAAAAAAAAAAAAAAAAGGTTGAGAATGCTCTATTTTACTTAAAAAGCTAAAAATAGCACATAGCTAAAAAATTGTTTGTAAAATTCTGACACAGTCTAAAGTACTCTTTTTCTACTTTGTTTATCAAATTGAATAATTAGTATTCTGGAACCTAATATTCTAATACAGCACTGTCAAACATCACTGCTTTGCTTTCACCTTTTATCATGGACAATTTTTAATAGAACCCTTCAAAAATAAATGGAAAAAAATAAAGTATGACGGAGCCCAATGGATCCAATTCAACTCTGGTAACCAACAATGCATGGCTTTTGTTCTCTACTCTACCCACTTTGTTCTCTACCTTACTGTATTACTTTGAAGCAAATTCTAAATGCCTTATCATTATTATACATAAGTACTTTACTGTCTTGTTGTTAAGTGTTGCTGAGTTGTTTCTGCCTCATAGTGACCCTGTATAGGGTTTCTAAGGAGCAGCTTGTGCCAATCTTGCTGTTAGCAGTCCAGTGCTTATCCTAAAGCACCAAACCAGGACTGTAAATACTTTATTAGTTATCTATCCAGAAGGCTGTTGGATCAGCACAGACTGAGAACCACAAGGTCCGTGGTTCAAACCCACCAGCTGCTCTTTGGAAATCCTATAGTGTCACTAAGAATCAGAACTGACTCAATGGCACTTAATAACATTTTGTTGTTGTTAAGTACCGTGGAGTCGGTTCTGACTCATAGTGACCCTGCACAGGGTTTCCGAGGCTGTAAATCTTTATGGGAGCAGAACGCCTCATCTTTCTCCCACGGGAACAGCTGGTTATTTTGAACTGCTGACCTTGCGGCTCACAGCCCAATTCCTAATCACTATGCACCAGAGCTCCTTAACAATAGTACAGTTAAACTGTATTCAAACAGAAGAAGGAAATGCTAACAAAACTACTCAATTTAAATGTTTTTTCATCAAATTAGTCAAAACTCAGTAATGACCAACTTGAAACAGTCTAATTTTAGACTAGACTTCTATCAGAATCATAAATCTGGTTTACAATATAATTTTGTAAAATGTACCTTTGTGACTCAAACCATTGTTAATAAATAAATAAGTAAAGCAAAATTTGAAAACAAATAAGAGAAAAAGTAAAAAACCTCACCTGTATTTAAGAGGAAACATTAATGATTCCAGAGCTCTACAAGCATCACTAAGTCTCTGGAAACTTGCAGAATGGAAGAGAATTTTATTTTCTGTGAGGACAGCACAAAAAAGGCTGAGCACATTTTGAATTCCTGGAAACACAAGAGCAAATGCTTATAAAATAACATTTAATTTCATGTGTTGTCAGTAAATAAAACAGACACTTGGAATGATAAGGAAAGAAAATGTCACTATTCTTGGAATTTCTGAAAGAAAATATTTAAACTACAAATTCTGTATGTTGTTGCTGTTAAGTGCTGTCAAGTCAATTCTGACTCTTAGTGACCCTGTATAGGGTTTCTATGGAATGGCTGGAGGGTTTGGATCATTGACCTTTCACTTTAGTTTATCCTAAAGCACCACACCAGGGATCCAAACTCTATATAACTTATGAATATGTTTTCCCAAACTTTCAGTCATTCAACTTATTTGTTGTTTAAAAATATACTGTTACCAACTTCATCCTAAGATTTGTTCTTAAACTTGTTTCAAATGCTGGCATTTTTCTAATAATTTTTATACCTCTTATATATCTAATGTTAATATAAGCTATCAGCTTTGTTGTTAAAATTTGCCCCATATTATGTTCCAACATTTTCACTTCAACCATTTTTACTTCTGTATACAGCATACAGCTGATGTTTCAAAAGCCAGTCAGACTGTCTTTTAACTAGACTATCTAATCCGCTTATACTTATTTTAAGTATATTATTTTATGCTTTTCATTTGTTCTCTCTTTTTCTTTCCTTATAGTTTCTATTTATCCCACTTCTTTATTCCTTCTGCTAATGTGGAATTTATAAACTCTGTATTTTTTTAGTGGTAATTCTAGAAAATTCAACATGCATACTTATCAAATCAAAGTTAAATAAGTACACCTACTGCTCACTTACTAAGTTGTTATCTGGCATTTTGCATTTACGGTAACAGTGAAAAATCTACTCTCTTGCTCCTTGGTACATTAAGAAGGCAGTGGGCACTGGCTGTTGAGGGTCACTGGTGGCATCTGGGAGGATGGCCAGCTCTGCTCCATACCCTTGGATTTTTCCTGGCTGTGCAGTGTTAAAGGCTGCAGCCATGCCACAGGGCCCTTTTTACATTCCCATCTCCTGAGGCCCCTGCAGCTCAAAATAGCTGCGGGAAAGGGAGGGAGGGAAGAAAGAAGCATCAGAGGTGTTTGGAAGAAATGTGTGTGAGTTTAATGACATTCACCAATAAGTCAAACTGGTGGGAAGCCCCCGGATCATGAATGCAGTGCTTGTAGGGGTTGGAGGTGGCTCCATGAGGGAACTGGTGACAGAATACAGGAGGAAGGTGAAGTGGTGAAGCTGCCAATCCCTCAGTCACATTGCCCGGCTTTATCCAGCATGGTCTCCTCAAGCTTCCTTTCTGATAGAGGAATGATTTATACCTGACTCATCCTAGTGATGAACATATCAGTAAGTCATAGCTGTTACTATTTCTATTACATTTCCTACATTTTAAAAATTAGATAACTAGATGGTCTGGAAAAAACAAACAAACAAAAAAACAACCTTCCATTTTCTCATACTGCTAATTTTTTATTAGTGACCTGGTCTTTGGAACCTAATCCTGTCAGTAAGTGAGGCGTGGATATACACACTTCCATATTTTCTGCTTTTATTTTTTACTCTAATAATTTTTCTTTAGAACAATTCATTTTACTCACACAGACTCATTAAACCAAGAGACTCCATTAGCTTTCTCAGATAAAATACTTCCTACAGAAAGGGGTTCCAAAAACTTGGTGGAAAAATTCTATCATCTTTTAAATCCATTTACTTTTTGTATCCATGCACTTTTTGAAGCCCCTTCACATATCCCTTTACTGTTGCTTTCTCTTTCAAGTGAAAAGTACAAATTTCTTCAGTCCATTTTCATTTTTTATTATACCAAACCTATTCCATGTGCTATATTTAGTGTTTTAATATTCTCTCAGTTGAGCTATGTAATAGTTTTATAATGAGTTTCCCTAAATCCACTCCTTATTCTCTTTATATCTATTCTCCAGTTTCCAGAATTATGGACATACCACATAAATCTGATTAGATCACTTTTATGCCTAAAACCCTTCAATTATCTGCCCCCATCCATCTGGTCAGTGATTTTGTGAATGTTTCTGCAGAATATAATATATACTATATATTAATAGTCGAGTCCTGGTATGGTGCTGTGGGTTAATGTGCTGAACTGCAAAGTCGGTTTGAACCACAAGGTTGGCAGTTCCCACTCACCAATCACTCCTCAGAAACCTTATACAGGGTCTCTATGGGTCAGAACTGGCTTGATGACACTTGGCAACAACATATATTAATATCTGTATATTAATTTCTGTGCCTCAGGGGGTAAGATGAGGATAATATTAAGATCCACTGCACAGTGGATTATTTTATATACAAATGAGATCATGTCTGCAGTGCTCAGCACAATAAAAACTTCATATATTCCAGAGGGCTTCAAAAAGTTCTTATAAAAATGGAATGACAAGATTGGAATTTTTCCACGAACATTTGAAGCCCCCTCACAGGAGCACAGTGGCTCCATAGGATAAGCATTGGATTGCAAACCACAAGGTTGGTGTTTAGAGCCCATCAGCTGCTCCATGGGGAAAAGATGAAGATTTCTGCTCCTGCAAAATATTTAAAGCCTCAGAAACCTTATACAGGGTTACTATGAGTCAAACCTGACTCTATGTCACTTAACAGCAACAACATGATACTAAGTTTATTATTATAGTTGTAGTGGTCATTAGGAGTCCTAGTGTGGCACTGCGGGTTAAATACGCTGGGTTTCAAGGTTGGTTTGAACTTCAAGGTCAGTGGTTCAAGCTCACCAGCTGCTCCTTAGAAGTCCTCTGCAAGGTCGCTATGAGTCTAAACCAACTCAATGACACTTCACAACAACAACAGTGGCTATTAACATTAATTTTCTTTGTAGTTAGATTTCTGATACCAACAATGTTTAAAAACACCTAACCTACAAAATTAACTCTTAACTCCAAACCAAAATATCTCTGTGGTCTTACCTCAACATTCCAATCCTTTTGTGCAATTAATATTGAATTTATTTACCCATCACAACACTTCAATTCGTATTCCATCAATTTTATAACTTCTTGTGAATCTTAAAACTACTTAAAATTTTTTTTAAAGGTTATATTTAAAAAAAAAATCATTTGTGGACATATAGGGATATATGTCATTTTAGTGTGCTTTACTCTATTGTGCTTCATAGCTATTACGTGTTTTATAAATTGTAGCTTTGTGGCAACCCTGCATAAAGCAAGTCTATCTGTGCCATTTTCCCAACACATGTGTTCACTTGGTGTCTCTATGTAATTCATTTTCTATGTTTTCATAATTCTAAGAATATTTCACACTTTTTTGTAATGCTGTTGCACACTTAACAGACTACAGTATGGTATAAACAGAACTTTTATATGAACTGTTGTTGTTAAGTGCCGTGGAGTCAGTTCCGACTCATAGCGATCCTGTATAGGGTTTCCAAGGAGCAGCTTGTAAGCTTGAACTGCTGACCTTGCAGTTCAAACGGCTTTGCAGTGTGGTGCATTAATCCACAGCGCCACACCAAGACTGCACTGGGGAACCAAAAAATTCCTATGACTTGCTTTATTGCTATGGTCGGGAGCCATAGTATCTCTGAGATATGTTTGTACTCGTTTCCTATGGCTGAAGAAACAAACGATCATAAATGTTTAAACTTAAAAAACATAAGTTTATTATCGCATTGTTCTATAGATCAGTTGTCTATAATGGGTCTCAGTAGGCTAAAATCAAGGTGTCAAAGAGCTGCCTTCTTTACTGGATGTTCTAGAGAAAAATCCATTTTCTTGCTGTTTTCCAGCTTCTGCAGCAGCTAACATCCCTTGGCTCATGACTCCCTTCCATCTTCAGAGCTGGCGATGATCACTCACATCTTTCTCACATAATGTCATGTGACTCTGCTTCCCTCTTTTAAGGGCCCTTGTGTGGTGGTAAAGTGGGTTATACATTGGGCTGCTAACCGCAGGTTGGTAGTTCAAACCCACTAGTCACTCTAGAGGAGAAAGATGAGGCTATCTTTTCCTGTAATGATGAACAGTCTCACTGTGAGATAGAACTGATTCAATGGGACTGGGTTTGGTTTTTTATTTGGGGATTTCACTGGGTCTAAATGAGCTTCTTAAAGGAACTGAGATGAATTTTGAAGGATAAGTAGAAGTTGGTTAAGTAGACCAAAAAAAAAAAATCAAATCATTCACAGCTGACTGAAGACCACACAAAGAAATAGAGGAAAAGTGAGCAAGACACATTAAAGCACCTACAAGCATTATTGGGAGAATTTATATGCCAAGAGAAGGAGTCCAAACTTTTTTTCCTTAAGATACTGGGAATTTCTTCTTCTCTGCTCCTATCTGAATCTGCTGTGCTCCTCCACAAAAAAGATACATATCATTCACAAATGGTCCATGTAGTCAGTATCAGAAAAATTGTCAAGAAAAGGACATAAAATTGCAAGGGACCCTCTTATTTAAATCAGGAAAAATAATCAATTTAACATATCAGTGGGGAAACATTACATTATACTTATTTAAAGAGGATTTAAAGTCTAAAAATTTAGGAATTAGTTAAAGAAAATATTCTAGTACTTAAATAGTACGTTTTTTAATTTCCACATCCAGAATATTATATAGAACAAAGTGCCTGTCAATTTAAGTAACTGAGGTGTTACATAAATTTTATATTTTTAAATACAGTATCTTAAAAATTAAAATATTTAGTTTATTCCTAAGTAACAAAGTTTGTTGCTGTGTTCATAGCTACAGAGTTTAGAAATTCCATTTCTGTGAACTACCAGTCATAATCAGTTTTCTACATAACCTTGAATTGTTTTCTAGGCTTCTGTAGCCCAATATTCATCCAATGCTGCACAATAGAAGACAATATGAAAACAAACATTTCAGTGATAATTACTTCTGATTTCATTACAATAGCACATATACATCCTGTTGATTATTCAAATAGTAAAAAAAAAAAAAATAGAAAAATTACTTCCTGGTCTTAACTTTTCT